TCCATGATGCTGCCACCGTCATACTTCACGGTGAGGATGGTGAGGATGATGTGCAGAGTTTGGTGTCCATCAAACATAACTTCTAGTCTGATGGACAAAATGTTCAATTTTTGTCTCATCAGACCAAAGAACCTTCTTCTAGTTGACTTCAGAGTCTCCAACATGCCCTCTGGTGAACTCTAGTTGAGATTTAATTTGAGTTTTTCTTCAACAGTGGCTTTCTCTTTGTCTCCCATAAAGAGGTAACTGGTGAAAAACAGCCAGCAGTTGTTGTATGCACAGTCTTTCTCATCTCAGCCAATGAAGCTTGTGACTGATTCAGAGGAGTCATAGGTGTCTTGGTGGCCTCCCTCCCTCTCTGGAGTTTTTCTTGCACCGTCACTCAACTTTCTGAGGATGACCTGCTCCAGACAGATTTACACATGTGCCATATTCCTTCCATTTCCTGAAGATGGATTTCTTTTACTCCAAGGATTGTTCATTAACTTTGATTTAAAAAAATAAAATCTTGTATCTACTTCCTGGCTTATGCTTTTCAGTAATCTCTTCCTGAACTACTTGGTGTGTCCTTTTGTCTTCGTGGCACAGTTATATCCCGGAGACCTGATTCACCAGTGACTGGACCTTCCAGATACAGGTGTCTTTAAACCGCAATCATTGAGACACATTCACGGCACTCAAATGATCTCGGTTTCAGTAATTGTGTAACTTCCAGCACCAGCTGGCTGCACCTGTGTTGAATTAGTTGAGTCACTTTAAAGGAGGTTAACACTTATGCAATCACTTATATTACATTTCCCATTTTTATATAATTGACTTGTCAGAAAAGCAAAATTAACTTGACCATGATTCAATGTCGGACAGCAATAAATGGGATCACCTTCTCAACACTTTTTCTTTTTTTTCCAATGCTGCTACAGGCCTTGACTGCTGAGGGAACTCCCATGATGCACCTCTCCTTTACTCTCCTTCTCCCTTCATACATTTATATTCCACCGTGGCATGTAAGTAACCGTGGGTCTTCTTTTTCACATTCTTCAGGCTTTTTGATGTGCAGCTTCTGACCTCACCTCCCTCTCTGACTCTTAACTACGACGATCATTTGTAGCATGCGTGTGACTGATCAGTTCTCTCACCCTCTGCGAACGGTGGCTAGAAAGGCTCGTATCTGACTAACCTCTCATCGTGTAGGCGTTCATAAAAAGCGGCGTGCACTGGCTCTTCTTAAACTTCTTCCAGGCAGGTGGACAGCTAATGTCCCTCTCCTCCACGTCACACACAAACATGTCTTCTGGCTGAGCAACACAAACATCAGAAAAAGGTATGATTTAAACCATAATGCATTAATCTTCCTCTGACTATTACTCCATCACAGGTGTGAGTCATTGTCTCTGCTGGAGGAGAACACAGTTTCGCTCACCTGTATTCTCTCTTTCTGGACGCCCGACGGCGCGATGTAGATCTGCTCTCTGTGAGTAATACGAAAAAACAGAGGGACAATGAAGTAGCTGTTGGAGGAGGTCAAGCCAGGAGTTAGTTTGTCATGACATAATGGAACATCATAGCAGACAAATAGCTGGGCTGCTCTAAGCTTATTTTGTCTTTGCCTGAAAGAAAATGTTACTGTGTGTACCGGGGTTGAAACTCTGGCCGCTGCAAAATGTGAAAGAAACACTCGCTGAAGCTTTTTCAGCCATCCATAAAGTACCCAATCCCCAAAGTAGTTATTGCAGGTAATTCTTTATACTCCTGCCTCAGTCTGCCTCAGATGGTTTTAGCCGGTGCCGAAGTTGACCATTTATCTGAAACATTTTGTTGTTGCATTCTCTCCCTGCCAGAGTTTTGTCTTTGTCGGAAAAATTCTGCATTCTGCGGCCTTGGTCTCTAGACCTGAGGGAACAAAGCCTGAAATTAAATGTACATACATAAATGCAGAATTGCGGCGCTGAATGGACGGCTTTAGTTAAATCCTCTCTAAATCTTTGCAATGATCACGCCGCGTTCTTGCTTAAATGTTTAGCGCCGTTATGTTCCCCCGATACAGTGCGGTGGATAAAGCCATTGCACTCCTCTTTATTGAGCAACAAACATTTCCAGATAAAGAAGTAGCTTATTGATTTTGAGCGCGAGGTTTGGCGAGGCCGCCTCAGGCTGTGAGTCATTTCTGAGTCAAAGCAAAGCAACTGTGGAAACAAAAAAAATAGAAAATGCTTTAAAACTTAAAATTCAGACCTGCGCTCACGGAGAGAAATAGACCTTTTGTGTAAAACATCTAACAACAGATCTGTATTGTGCATTCAGGCTGCTTGAACGGTTCCGTATCTGTTTTTAGAACATCTACAATCATCACACTGAAGTGATGAATGTTGTGGCCACAAATTAGGACCGCTGCTACTGTGTCAAACATTTTTTTGACAGGACGCCGGACAAAAACAGCATCGTTGTGTTTAAAACATTCGCCATTTTCGAGGAAATGATACTCTGCACGGCTCAAGTGCTGCAGCGGAGCTTAAAACTGCTTATTTTCTATTTCAGGCCGAAAGTACAATCATTTGAAAAGATGAAAAAGAAATTCTCCCTTCAGTCATTTTCGAGTTACAGTGTTTTTTCTATCTGAATGAAACACCAGTGTACGCGGATCAGCAGTCCTATTTGGTTTCATTAAAGGTTTCATCAAAGTTCTTTGTTGGCTTAAATAAATGTCTGCCATTCCACATTACAAACAGAGATCTGCTAATGGGTGGTGCTTTCTCTGTCGCTGCCATCCAAAACAACACAGTTCAGAGAAGTTTGTAATAACCTGTCAAAGCCTTCAATTTAAATTCTTTTTCATTACTGCAAAACTGTGGCCTTCTGTCTTCATCCCAGATTTGCCCGCACTGACGAAACCGCTAGAACCGACCTGCCATTAGCCTCGCTGCACTTTTCTCAGTGCCCGAATGTTCCCAAACACGACAGCGTATGATTTATAGCATTGTCAAGGAGCGAGAAAACAACCATTTCTGATGTTTCACAGTAAATAAATGCACGAACCCTCGTCTCAGACTGATCCCTCCGCCCGTCCCCGTCACCCATCCCAGCTGGTAGAAGAGCCGACACAGCTCAGGAATCAGGACACGGGGATGCTCCTTGTCCTGGAACGCAAACAAAACCGACATAAGTTTAACACTTTATACATAAATCAGTGTGAATAAACTTTAAATCCACATCCCTACGCTTGCAGTGTGCTTGTTTTATAATAGTATAAGAGTACTGCGTCACTGCAACACAAACAGCATAACTTAAGGATGTTCTGATTGAGGTTTTTTTTGCTCTTGATCCGATCAGAGTCATTCAGTATCCGCTGAAGTCCCAATCCAGCACCATTTTCCTAATAAAACACACTTCAAGTACGTCAAAGCTGTTAAAATTAATCTAATAAATATGCTCAGCAACTGAAGAGCTCTGCACTGCATTAAAAAAAAAAAAGTAATTCCTAATCTAGGCTGTTTTTAATGTCACGTAGGAAGTCAATAACCTTGTAGAGCTCTGGTTTTCTGAAATGTAGTGTCAGAGTGATGGGTGTACCGTGGTTCCATAAGCGTCAAAAGATGGAAAAAAAAAACTGTTTTCTCATGTCAGAAAAAGTAGATTAGCTGTAGTACCTGGTAGCACAGTAGTTACTGTTTGTGGTGAGCAGAGGATGTGGTCACTCCGACTAGAGGCAGGTCATGTTAGCAAGCAGAGAGCATCATAGCGGTTTAGCGAGCAGCGGGCACCAAGACTTCTACGATGAACATGGCTGTCTTTGTGGCCCGTGCTGACTTAAATATCAACACAGTGGTCAACATGTGTCATCTATTAATCAATTACTGATTGATACCGCTGCCAATTACTGACTCACAAAACTATTCCAAAATTGCTAACATCCCGCCACAAACCGTGTCCCTACGACACCTGCGTGACAGCGAAGGTAAACAAAGCATCTCGCGTAGCTTCGTGCCAAAGCCGATCAGTTAAAAAGTACCTCAACTGGACCCGATCCAGATCTTTTGAGGTCAAATCAGGACGTCCGTTATGCAACCTGACGCACTGCATTTACTGCTGTTAGAGCAGAATCAACCGAAGGAAAAGTCTGGTGATGTTTTTACCTGTTTCTCGTGAAATTAATGATCATTCTTCTGTTCCAAAGACTATAAAACAATCTGAACACGCCTGTGTACGGGGTGTCCTGTTCCTTCGTTAATATGAAAACGATTAGATCCAACACACACCACCTCTCTGCCACAGGGCTCGATCCAAATGTCCGTTACTCCACAAATAAAAACAGTTTCTGCTATTAACAGCAGTACTGACTGTTTTAGTACATGCAATTACATTTTTTTAAAATTAAAATAAATCAAACTATAAATTTGGGGCTTGTTTGTAAAGATTGTTTTCTGTAGGATGTGATGGGGGTGTGCCAGGAGAGTCATACGGGAAGAAAAATACAGAATACTACTGGTTATGTACTAAGAACATGCACATTAACTGCATTATTTATTTAAATTATGGAGTCAAGCTGTATCAGGATCCTGTCACAGTAATGAAAAAAATGCTATTATTCAGTGTGACCGATGCATACCTGATTACTGCCACTAACAAATGAGTTAAATGTTTCCTAAAACCCCTTAAAATACACTTTATATTTCCTCTATTTGGCAGGTTCAGATGCACTTCTACTACATTATTTCATACAAAAGCAGCCCATAGTGTTGATGTTTTGCTTGCCTGTTTCTCTGCGGTCTCTTCAACTGAAACTTGGCAGCCATTGCTGGTACCACATGAAGATGACATCTCCTGTGACAGAACCATTGATTAGATTAGGAGACAATTCACAATTCCAAGACAAGCTGCCTGGGAAACGTTGGCAGTTACATTGATTTTGGCGACATAAAACAGGCGTAGTGCTCTTCAGTCACAAGGAGAAGGCACTCCGTCAGCGTCTTGCTTCCTCATTCTGACTCGTTCCTGATGGGAATCAAATACCGTGGAAATACCGCAGGGAAGATTAACAGACGACTGATTTACAGTTCCAGCTAAATTCTTTCCTTCCTTATCCTCCCACGTGTCGATTAGGGAGAACCTGTGGTATTCTGTGATCTAAGGGCCAACAAGCATGGCGGCAAAAACTCTTATGCCACCTCTATTTATCCAACAAAGGTTACATAATGGAAAACACAACAAGATTTGCATCATTAAGACACAGAGTGGGGAAAAAAGTAGACTTAAGTGGAAATGATATATGTATTTATGATCCATTAATTCATGATTGAACAATGAACACGAGTCGAAAAGACAAATATCGAGCTGTATGGCTTTTTCTGTTGTGACATGAATTTTCCTCCATTACACAGAAAACGAACACAAAAGAAAGCCACGTTTTGTTTCAGTGCGGTCAAGCAGAGAGCAGCGGACTGCCAATGCAAACACAAAGCCTTAGTCATTAGTTGTCATGAGGACGTGCGAGGAAGCCTTTTTTCTTCTGAAGCGGAGACGCCTTCTCCATGTGAAAATGAATCAACGAAACAAGCCACGGCAGACAGACAGCCTTTCACATTAACAGTTTCCTTTGGGCTCGCCGGCTGCAGGGTCATTAGCGCCAACGTCAGTTATGTTTGTGATCGTCTGCGGTTCCATTAGATGGATTGTGCTGCACGAAACTGAACACACAGGCCCTTTGAGGGACCCTCTTGGCAGGATTCTCAGTAAATGTTGACAGCTAACTAACAATGTTTGTTAGCTTACAGTAAACACTGGCCGGCTGAACGGCGCATTAGGAGCTAATGCTAATAAATGTAAATAGCTGGAATTGCCTGAAGGTGAATGTGAGGTTATAGGACGGAGGAGTTTGCTCTGGAACAAAGCGCTGAAACTGTAGAAACAGGCCGAACATAAAAGTGTGTTTGTCTTGTGAACAGCTTGTTTTATTCGCACAAAAGTGTCTTTTTGTGTTGTGATGAACGGAAAATTTACTCAGGTGTTCTTTTACATACGACGCAGTATATATGCATGAGTATAAAGAATGAAATAGCATGAATTTAGTTGCATTTTCCTTTTTGTCTGATTCATTTTAAGTCTCCTTTATTAACCACCAATAGTCTGATTAGCCATCAATGTGCTCGTTTTAGTTTTTCAAGCAAAAATGACATCCAGATTATCTGATGAAAGAGTTTTCTAAGTTTTAAATCATTACAGACTGAAGATTTTTACCTTCTGGACTGATTGTCAATCAAAATAATTTAATCTAAGGAAGATAATGTGGGCTAGAGGGAACTTTTTTGCATATTACGCTCTTTCCTGACCTTTTACAGACAGACATTAATGAGGAAAGTATTCAGAGTAAGTGGCTGAAAATAACTAAGTTGCAGTCCTAAAAATGTGATATATTAAAACATAGGATAGCAAAACGGGAATAATTAATATCTGAAGTCAGTGTTACATTCACCTTAAGGGCCCACAGTGCGCTTGTCACCTTGATTATTTAATACTGGACCTATACGGACCCAGATCTAAATGTTTCAGTAGCACAGCTCTAAGGAGACGTTAGTTTTGACTTTGATCTTGGCTTCATTAAGGATATTTTGCCACACCTGAGTAACTGGTATTTTTTGCTGCGACAAACTCCTTTGAAGCTACGCCTCTAAAATGCTATACATGCCGCCACATGTGCATTATTTGCATGAGCACTACTGTATCACTGAAGACAGTATGCAAATATCTGCTGCGACAAAAGATAACATCGATTCATATCGTTTCATCGAGTGGCTTTGTGTCAGTCAAGGCTACAGCGAGACTGCAATGAAAACATAACCTTAAATTTTAACAGAGCGACACGATCCGGCGTTCATTTCTGAAAAACGGGCAGCAGGCCGTGTGAAACGGGAAGTCTTCACATTTTGGTCAAATCACGTGTCAGCTGAAATAAAAACTGCCGTTACAAACTTGCAGAGTACTACAGACATCACTAGACATTAGATTTGACATACTGCATTGAGTTAAAAGAAAAAAAAGCAGATGTTATAGTTTGTTAATCTTACTCATATGTGCCACATGGTGCGTATCCAAACACATGCATTCAGAAAAAGTGAAAGTTAAAGGTGTCCAAGACTGACTGGTCATATAAGACATATTTACTCCATTGAAATATGACCTCCTGTACAGTCTGTGTTGCTAAACTGAAGGGCTAAATACGTCCAGATGTTTTTGTTTGGTGGGAGCTGATGTTGGAGTTTTGATAGCTGAACACATAAAAATCCATTATTAAAATAAAGTAGATGGGGAAAAAAAGCTATGATACTGTGTATTTAAAATGTATTTTGCCATTTACTTTGGGATGAAAATTGTACATATTTATATTTACAAATATCCACAGCTGCAGTGTACAGAGCCAGGTGACTAAATAACAGCTCAGGTGAGAGGTTTCTTTTTAGTTTCTGGCTGTGACTTGTGTTGCACAACTGATGCCAGATTCCCACAATGAAACTTGAATAAGCAATGTTGTCTTTTATGAAGTTATTTCTTCCTTTTATTATCATCATCATCATTATTATTGTTAACAAAAAATACATCATAAATCTAATTTCTTTAGGATGCAAATAAAAACTTGTACAACACTGACATCTTTGATTAGCATGAGACTCCATTCAGCTCAACAAATAGGTGCAATGTTGCACATATTGTCGTTCATCATCATCTATTTCTTTTATATTCAAATGCCATGTGGTAGTGCCATATGCTGCATGTTAACTAAGGTTTGTTTTGTTGTTGTTGTTTTCTTCTGCAGGTGCATCTTTAAACAGCTGGACCCAACTAAAACGAATCATACATGACGCCACGTTAACGTCGTTGAACTGCAGCTAATTTACTCAAAAGCCAAACCAGACTCTTCCTAAAATAACCCTTTTGAGATGATTAAAAACAAGTTGTGTGCTAACAGCTGTGGCTAACTAACCTACAACAGTTACTTAACTTTAAAAACAGGCTGGTAAAGCTCGTAAACGCATCGTGATGTGCCATGCATACAATAATTTCACTGCTACTCGTCAGACGTATAGAAAGCTGCATAAAGAACACAATTATTTACCGTATTTATGGCGTGAAATCAGCCTTGCAAAGTGCTCGATGCGACAGCGGCTAAACGGGCTAACGTGACGTCATCAACGCGCGACTCCGAGCAGGCTGCGACTCCGGATGTTTCTGTCCATCAAACCTGCCTCTCCCTGTCGGTGTCGAACATTTCCCCTCAGGATATTAGTAATTTAAATTCAATTAGTTGTTTCTGTCAACTGTGAAAACGATACTGATGTGTCTGGTTAAAGAAGTTATGCGTAGAAAAAAAAAAAAAAAAACAAGGAATAACATACTGCAAAAATCATCAAAATGCACCCAATTAAAAGTGCTGTTGTCCTGGAAACAAAATGCACTTGTAATTATTAAAATAAAGCATTTATTGCAATACATTTGACTGTTTCAATTACATTATTATTTATATAACTGAGCCTCATAACTTAATTTTGTGTACCTGAATAACAGCGAATATATTCATTTATCCTTTGACATGTATTTTTATTTATTCTTCACTGTTTTTGTTCTTGTTGTTTTTACAGAAACTTCAATCTCACTGTAGCTGTTAAGTAAATATGGTAGAGTTATCCAAATAGAGGAGTGTAGTGACAAGTCAATACACATAAAATGGGATTATAACATATTCATGTATATTATAATCTACTAGTTTGCAGATTTTCTACCAAGTTGCTTTTCTATCTTTATTCAAAAGTGAGGCCTTTTAATCTGGGAGCATTTTTCCCTGATTTTTTTAAATTCATATTTTGCAATGCTTTCCCTCACAACCCTGTCTTCGCTCTCAAATAGTCCCTGCTCGGGTGCAAATCTGCTCTGCTGCTCAAAGCTGTTTGCACTCAGATATACTGTTGCTTGCACAAATGTCCTGCGTTTCACTTTCAGTGTATCCCTTCAGAAATACAGTGCATGCAGTCAGGCTGCTTCTGTGTACTAAGCTCCTGCTCTCGGTTCTTCTTTGAACTTCGCTCATTGCTTTACTACGAGAATCGCCGCGGTGAGACCAACTACAGACGCATCAATGCAACCACGGGGGCACAAATCTGAGAGCAGTAGTTTCAGAGAGACACTCAAAAACTGAAGCACGGGACATTTGTCCAAGCAGCAGTGTATCTGATTGCTGACACACAGTTTTGAGCAGCAGAGCCAATTTGCAACACAAGCAGGTGCTATTGGAGACAGATGGCAGGGTTTTGAGTGAAGGCATTGCAAAATATAAATATAAAAATAAGAAAGAATGCTCTCAAATTAAAAGACTGTGGTTAAAGAATAACTACATGTTTTTCATTTTGTACATAATTGTACAGAACTGTATGCTCTTTCCTTTAAAGTTCTTCGGTAGGTCACCCTTGCTTTTCTTATTTCTCAACTGAACTGTTGCAGTTTATTGTATGTCAGAATGGACCTGGCACCGACATCCCTGTTGCAACTGGTTAAAAATGCTTCCGAATGGTGCACATAAGTGGGACCACATTTCACCTGGCATCCTTACATTGGCAACCGGTTCAGCATGGGATTAATGATTCTGAGGGCTTGAGTAGACGAGTCCCAGCTTATCTGTCAGACCTGTTGCACTGTTATTATGTGATAATTGTTCCTAGATCCACACCGGCACTAAAGGCCGACCAGGTTTTCTCAGTGGTGGCTCCAAAACTTGGGTACAGGCTCTTCTTTCCCATAAATTGTATAATTTCACGATAATTAAAACTAATGATCAGAAGAGTGGTGGTTAAAGTCCCAGTCCTGCCAGGCTGCTGCTGTTGTGCCCATGGGCAAGGACATTAACTACCACGTCTAGAGGTGCTTTATCAGTGCTCCTATGCTCTGACCCCAACTGGGATACGTACAAGCCGGATCAGATTTCACTGTGCATTGTACTATCGACAACAAATAAAAACAACTGAATTTTAAATTTACTTGTAATTTATCATACACTGACTGCAAGGTGGATCGGTGGTTAGCACCGTCGCCTCACAGCTAGAAGGTCGCCGGTTCGCGTCCGGGTGAGGACACCCAGGATCTTTCTGCGTGGAGTCTCCATGTTCTCCCCGTGCAGCGTGGGTTCTCTCCGGGTTCTCCGGCTTCCTCCCACAGTCCAGAAACATGCTGAGGTTAATTGGTGATTCTAAATTGTCCGTAGGTGTGAATGTGAGTGTGCTTGGTTGTCTGTCTCTAAGTGTAGCCCTGTGATAGACTGGTGACCTGTCCAGGTGAACCTGCCTTCACCCTGAGTCAGCTGGGATAGACTCCAGCCCCCCACGACCCTAGTGAGGATTAAGGTGTATATAGATAATGGATGGATGGATGTTTTAAATGGTTTCACTTGCATTAGGTTGTGCTGTATGGGTTGGGATACACAAATACTGGCCTAGCTGTGATTTTCACCATCTGGTTAAAGCTAAACTGCATTTTGTGATGTTTACACTTCCTTTGTGCTACAGTGATAACGTTGAATCTAATCCCTTCTATCAAGTGCCCCTATTCTAATCTTTTATCTCTGCTGTTGCTATAAAAATTCTCCTGAACCACCACCCACGTGAGTAGCTGTTATCTGTGCATATCTGTGTATCCAGGTGACTGCACATACAGATGTAGAAAAAGAAGTTATGCAATCATAAAATACAACTACAATATACAAGCATGAATTGGAGAATACATGTAGGTTACATCATACTTAGCCTTGCGATCCGACATAAAAGAAGGTTTTATATTTAGTGTCGGATTATCGAGTCACGACTGTAAATACTAATTTGCATACTAGATATGCAACCTGCAGATGCAAAACCATGTTCGTGATTAATTCAAACAACACTTAGAAGAGCTCTTTCTCTTGTCTCAACACACTGCTATCATGACAATCTCGAGCGATCTGCCGTTGCTCCATACGGCCGCTCCTCCTGAAGCTCAGCTTTGTTTCGTGTTGAATAGGCTCCAAGTCTCACTGCATACGAGTGACCTCAAAGAAACCCGCGAGGATTCAGCTAAAGTTCACATTTTGGCCAGTCTTTAATCTGGCAGATGTCAGTGAGGGTCTGCCTCTTGTCAAAGTGCTTCTCAGAGTAAGAGCGGAGTGTCATCAAATTCTCCAGCTGCACCAGTGGAATAAACACATGTCATACAATCATGGCCTACGCAGGCTTGTAGAAAGGGAGGTTTGAAATCTTTCTTGCTTTCAGTGCTGAGCTGCACTGTGTGTTTCCTGACTTTAATGCTTTCTGTAATTGCATGGCTCTTTCAAAAACAACTATTAGTGCTTTGATACGGTGCCCAAACGATGACGCAGAGACTCTTCATCCAGGGCCATCATTAGATTGATGCCTTTTTGTGAAACGTCTAGACAATTATTGGATGTGCTGCCACGAAATGTGGTACAGATAATAATAAAGGGGGGACAAAAAAGAAAACATTTTAATGCCATAAAGAGGCTTAAAAATAAAACAGGCAACAACAGGTTTAAACAAACAACAAAAAAATAATAACAGTGAAAGAAAATCAGAAAAGGAACATCAGGCTTTAGAAATGAAAAACCCAGCATGATATTTAATAGTAGAAGCTGTCAGTGATCTGAGGAAGCTGGCAGCTGAATGTTAAAAAAACAAGGACATAAAAATCCCCACTCAACCATCCAGGAAATCAAACTATGCTCCTAGGATTAGTCATCCACCTGTGACCTAATAAAGGTGCTATTGTTTTAAGTTTCTCATGGAATAAAAACTTTCTATCTTGGTTGTTTCCTTAAAGTGAGAGAAATGACGTCCAACACTTAAATCAGGAAATAGAATGAGCATGAATGTAAGAAACAGACTTTCAAAAATAAACAAGCAACTCACAATTACAAAATTTAGAGTAAAATTTGACGATGCTTGTCCGTGATCTGGAGACTTGTAAGCTGCATTTATATTTGATCCGCTGAGAAAACAAAAAATTAACCAACCAGGAAGAGAAACTTTGAGTCATCTAAATGTAACAGGAAAAAGGAATCGTCATCTTTCACATTCATCCCGCGGCACAAATCTCTTGGTTTTTCTAATTTCAAGAAATTATACACACATTTTAGGAATATACACAGAATATTTTACTTAAAAGCTAAATTATGATCAAATTCCCCTAAAAAAACGTGACACAAATATGGCACACTTTTATTTTAATAATGCAGCAGAGTTCATTTTTAGATTTCCAAAGTGGGTCTGATTGGAATGAATTTGGCACGTTAGCAGATATTATGCTTCCTCAAACACGTGTAGCATAATTAACGCACAGGTTTAGGAAAAAATAAGTAACTTGTTGGCTTATTTGGCAAATAAAAGAGACATGCTGTTGTACATTTTTCATGAAAAAGTGCGTTTGTGCACGCGTCTATAATCAGAGACAGATCGCATAAATTCGACCTACATGGGACTCGTGCCAGGAAAAAGGCTTTTCTATCCAAAAAGAACATTAGAGCAAAAACTCCAGTTTGCCAGAGCTTTTGGAATGACGCGCCGTGGACAGATGAATCAAAGATCGACTTGTTTGGCCACAGAAACGTTCGGCGTGTTTGGCTCAGACCGAGGACAGCTTTTCGGGAGAAGAACCCCACGCTGACTGTGAGGCGCGGCGGTGGAAATGCAATGTTTTGGCGTTGCTTCGCCACCTCGGGGACTGGGCAGCTTGCACTCATTCAACTATGAATTCTGCATCATATCAAAGAGTGCTTGAAGATAATGTGAGGCCATCTGTCTGAAAGCTGAAGTGGACCTTTCAACGGTATAATGATCCTAAGCACACTCGCGAATCCACCGAGGAATAGCTCAGAAAGAAGAAATGGAGGGTTGTGGAATGGCCCAGTCAAGGAAAAAAAACAAAAAAGAAAAAGCTCAGATTTGAATCCAATTGAAATCTTGTGGGGGGATTTGAAACGGGCAGCACATGCAAGGAAACCCTCAAACATCTTGCAGCTGAAGGAATTCTGCATCAAAGACGTCCAAAAAAACAAAAAAAAAAATCACCAAGCCAATGTCAGACACTGGTGGACAATTATCCAAAACACTTAGAAAAGGTTATTTCTGCAAAAAAGGGGGGGATGCAAGCTTCTGCGGCCGAGGGTGTAGCTACTT